AAAGGAAAAGGTATATGAAATAATATTATTTTTTATTATCTAGTTCTGATGTTATAGATTCATTCAAGCATAGAAACAAAAAAAATAATAAAACTTATTTTTTTTATGAAAAAAGAAATCAAGAATCACTAAACAAGACAATTGCCTATTATAATTGTGAAGGCATTAGAGATATCTCTACCAATTGTCCCTTTTCCAATGGAAAGTCTTACCAAAAATCAAGGAATGTAGATTGACTATGATCAGGCTTTCAAATTAGTAACAAACATTCAGTCACAGAACAACACTTCAAGAATGAACAATATAGTGGTTGGAAGAATTCATTTACCAATTGCAGTGAAATATTGAGACAAAAAATATAACTAGCACTATTGTAATATGTTGGTTAAAGGAAGGTATACTATTATGGCCAAGAGGGGTGTTGTCTTATGTAAATATGTCAGACTCAAAACAAGCTCTTTTATTAAAGAATCAAAGAGATTAGATAGTAGCTAAATTAAAAAAGTTGTTAAAAACTACTATAATACATTATCTGGAAGATCAGAATACACATCTGGAGTTTCTATTGAAAGTCAGTTCAATATTTTTAGTACTAAAGAAAGGTCCAAAGAAGTAGTGTATGATAATCAATTTGAGGCACCTAAATACAACTCTGCTAATGAAAAGCTTTTAGTTTGAAGATTTAAAAAGTTTTTTAAGACTTGTTGGAAGGAACAGATATGTTATTATAATGAATTTAAAGAAAGGATATCATCATGTTCTTATGACAGAGAATGCTCAAAGATTTTTAAGATTCAGGATGTTGGGAAAATAATACCATTATAAGGTACTTTTATTTGGATTATCATATGCTGTTTGGATATTTTCAAAATTAATAAAGGTAATCATAAGCCATTAGAGGTTTTTGAGGATATTTTGCAACAATTATGTCAATAATATTTGGGTTACATATCTCTTTCAGAAAATTCTAAAAAATATAAGGGACACAATTATAAAGATGAACTTAAAAAATTGCAGTTTTTAAGAGAGCCAACAAAAGGCAATAGGTGCCAACCCAAAAACCAAAGTTTTAAGGCAGAGGTCATAGTCTCAAAAGAGAAAATTATAGCAACAGAAAAATTATTAGTAGAGTGTTCAAGAAAGCAAACTATTTCAGCTTCCAACTTTCTGCAGTTATAGAAAAGATCTAATTAATAAATAAAGTCTTTTAACAAGCCAAGGAGTGATGTTTAAGTTTTATTCTCTAATCAATGCAGCAAACAGAAAAATTTGAGAATGAAATGCTTCAGTAACTCTATTAGTTTAGGCCCAAGAAGATGCATTTTGAATAGCAAACAATCTGACAAAAAACAATAAAAAGCTAGCTTGAAAATCATTGAAAATAAAAGCAGTCTTTTTTAATGTATTGATGATAGGATGGTTAGCTGTTTTCAACAATAATTGGACTTTTGGAAATTGGATAACAAAAAGATTATACAAGGAAATAATAAAGTAGAAGCATATGCTATATTATTAGAGATAGAAGCACTTACAAGTCTGCTTATCTAATCTTGGATTAATCTTCACATTAACAATTAGAATGCTTTAAGTATAGTGGCAAAAGGAACTATTATGAGAATTTTGGTAACTGTTTAACAAAAATGATATTTGACTTAATGAAATCTTTTGAGTACTATTAAAGAAAAATATAGCTAATGGGTTAATTTATTTTTTGAACAAAGCCAATTGAAAAATAAAAAATTAATCTTTTATTAGTTAGAAGCAAAATATGGCTCACATATGATAATCCAAATAAAAGTACCTTATAATGG